TGACAAGAATTTCCCTTAATTAGTTGGTTCTTAGGTTCTTAATCTTTTTTTATTCTAATTTTAACCATTACCTATATATATATATATATATATATATATATATATATATATATATATATATATATATATATATATATATATATCCCTATTCTAATAAAAGAATAAGTTTATCTCATATCAACAAGTGGCATAGAATTAGAACTTCTCATTAATATTATATATCATTTATCATGCCACTTGTCAACCTATTAATTACTCGTTTTAAATTTTAAAATTTCATTTTAATTACATTAAATTAATAATTTATTATCCATTTCAAATTTTCAAATTTAAATTTCTCATTCTAATTACATTAAATAAATAATTGATTCTTCATTTTAAATTTTCTCACTTTAATTATATTTTAATAACATTAGATTAAAAAATAAAATAAAAGGAATATATTTATAAGATGATATAATTCATTTATTTATTTAAATCAACGATTATAATTCTATATAACTAAAAAATATCTCCTAAGTAATAATTTATTTAAAATAATTGATTTTTTAATATGAAATTTTAATTAATTTTATAATCATGGTTCTCTCGGTTATAAACTAATATATATATATACCTTATTCTAATAAATAAAACCATTTTTGCCACGTGGCAATTCTCCGCCTCCTCCAAAGCTTATTTTCCCGCTCAGTCTTCAACGCGAATTTCCATAAACTCCCTTCGCCTATTGTATACCCCTTTCCCATTTCTTTTGTACTCTTCAATTCTGCTGCTTGTTAACTATAGTCCAGGAAATCAGCTCCCAAATTATCGGGATGCTCCTGAAAATTAGCAGGATTGGTGTTAAATTTGTATGTTTTCCGATTCAGTTTTACCTAATTATTTAGGTTTCATGAATTAGCCCTTTGCATCTCTTTACGATTGTCCTTCCGCTGCTGCTATCATTCAAGCAATTTTTGTTCATTTTCGTTTTGTTGCTTTATTCCAATCCCACGTTGTAAATATCTGTTTCATCCATCTCCTTCACCAAAGTGTGTGTGTGTGTGTGATATTATCACCATCAACTCCCTATGGACATCTTCTCTTTAGTTCAAGCATTTTGTTTGTTAAAATGGTTTTCTGATTTTTAGGGTTTTGTTTGACCAACTCTATTTTTATTCAAATCTCTTATGGGTTTCGTTTTTAAATCTTATCAAGTTTCGATTCCAATTTAATAGGAATCATGAATGGAAGTTATATGAAGAGCTGAAGCCAAAAGAAACATAAATCGTGAATCGATGATATTCAGAAGAGTCTAAGAGAGAAAGGATTTGATATTAGGTTAGCTTCACCTCCAAAAACCCCGCTCACCATCACTGATTTTTTTTCTACCCATCTTCTTATTTGTAAAATTGCAAAATTTCATGTTTTGAATCAAATGATATATGTGCTTGCTGCCGTCACAATTGCATTTCTGCGTTTTTAACCGCCGATGTTTGCACCTAAGCCTATGAACGACCTTCGGTCTGTGGTTTGTCACAGGAACACAATGATACCACCATCTGCCTTCCTCACTAATGTCGACCATCACTACAACAACACGACAATGTAAGCACATGTCACTGATCTTCCACCTGCCTCTGTTATTCCTTTTCTCTCTCCTCTCTCCCCTCTTATGTTTATGACCAGGTATGCTGCTATAACCTCAAAACCTCAATTGATCAATCAGAATGTTTTTTTTTATTCCTTTTGGTTGACTAAATTTTTTAATATTGATAATCAAAACGCATATGAATATATGATTATCTATCCATTCACGAAAATTCGATGTTTCTATTTTTTTTTAAAAAAAAATTAATATATTTTGTTAAACATTACATGTTTTGTAGTATTAATTTAACATAAAGACAAAAAATATATAAACAATAAATTAACTATTTAGAAGTATAAATAAATAAAAAAAACGTACGTATTTATAAAATGATGATGACAATAATGTTATAAACATTTAACATTGATTAAATAAAAATTGTTAAATATAAAAAACAAAATGATGAATAAGTAGGTAAGATAATAAAAACAAACATCGAAATAATGAGACTTATTTTTATGAATTACAAATTTCCAAAGACTTCTTTGAATACAACATTAGATGTCTTATTGGTAAGTTTACCATCTTTATCTAATATTAATATTTTTAATCTATCTTTACTCTTCACTCTCGACAATGCAACATACAACTGACCATGAGTAAATACTGGTTGTCTCAAAAACAACCCCACCTTCGATAGTGATTGTCCTTGACTTTTATTTATTGTCATCGCAAAACATACAGCCAATGGGAATTGTCGTCTTTGAAATATGAAAGGAATCCTTTTATCCGAAGGCGTCAAAGACATTCTTGGAATAAACGTACGGTTTCCGATATTACTTCCAGATATTATCTCAGCTTCTATAACACGTTTGCCCAATGCAATAACCCGTAGCCTTGTTCCATTGCACAATCCAGATTTTTGATCAATATTTCTTAGTAACATAACTGGAACACCGACTTTTAATACCAACTTATGAATTGGCATACCTGAAGGTCTAAGACCATTTAGAACATCAGGGGAGTATAAAGTTTCATCGATGTTATCATGAACAAAATCTGCATGTGAAAGACTATCTGAACTTAAATACTCCTGTTGTGCTCCTGGAAATAATTTTAACAAACGCTCGTTAATCTCTTGAACGACTTCATTTTTCGGTGCAAGGATTGCTCTTTCTTGAAAATAAATCGGATTTTTGGCATTTTCAACGATAGAAGGATAGACAAATTCAATTAATGAACCAATAGGATCAGTAGAATCAACAATGAGAAGATCATCAGGAATATCAATAGTTGTCTCTCCATCATTTAAACCACCAACCTTTCCTTCTCCTATATCCAAAATCCATTTTGCAAAAGTTGTCGTTTCTTGAATATTGGATGCGAGAACACTTAACCTCATGTTTTTTTGTCAATGTTAACACTTTGCAATTTGACCAAATGTAAGAGGAACATAATAAAGCATTAACAATCTCTTGCCTGCTTCCGTTAGGAATAACAGGTAGAATTTGTCTAAAATCTCCTCCAAAAACAATTGTTTTTCCTCATAACGGCAACTTTGAGTTGGTACGAAGATCACAATTGAATACATCTTTCATAGAACGATCCAAGGCTTCAAATGCATGCTTATGAATCATAGGTGCCTCGTCCCATATAATTAATGATGTTTTTTTTAACAATTCGGCTACATCACTGTCTTTCCCAAAAGAACAAAAAGAATCCTCTGTAAGATTTAGAGGAATTATAAAGCGTGAGTGTGCTGTTCTACCTCCTGTTAGTAACAACGAAGCAATACCACTTGAAGCAACATTTAGGACGATATCACCTTTAGATCTTAAAGATGCAGATAAAGTCTTCCAAAGGAAAGTTTTACCAGTACCTCCATAGCCATAAACAAAAAACACTCCTCCTTTTTTCTGTTTAACAGCTGTCATGATTTCATCAAAAATTGAGCGTTGTTCAATTGTTAATGACTCAAGTAGCTGATGAGATTCTTTTTGTAGAATCGTTATATCAAAATCTAACTCCTCAGTAATTAAACGATTGTTTGTAGAAGATACCAAATCATGATCAGGGTAAGGCATCCCAACAAAATCTCTTAGGCTTGAACTATTTTGGAGTAGAATTTTTTCAATCTCATATAGCGTCAAGTTTTTAATCTGATCATCATTAAGTGATAAACCTGTACAATAGTAAAGTTAATTTAAAAATAATTGTATAATTATTCATATGAAAAATATATAAATAACGTGTGTAATGTAAATAATGGAAAAAATAATAATACCTGGAGTCTTTAATCTTATTCGTTGATTGTAGAGAATTCCATCAGATAAGTATTGCCAAGTATTTTCCCAGACATAATATGGTCTAGACAAACTATTAGACTTTAGCATAGTTGCAAATAGAAACCGTAAATAATAACCAGATCCTGAGTGACTTGCTTCCTCGATGGCATCAATATATTCTCTATCATCTTTAAAAGTCCAAGCGCATAACATGCATCTCTAAAAGTAGGACAGACTTGTCCATTAACCTTGCGAATATCTTCAAATGATTTCGGCCCTTTGACTTTATTTAAAAGAATTCTCAAGAAATATGCTTCACCCAAATTAGGCGAGACTGTGTGAATTCTTCCAATAGAAAACCCTTGTTTTCTTGGCTCCCAACAACGATCTTCCTGTTTCCATACAAATTTTGTAGGAAACTCAACATAAGAAAGTTTTCGTGCATCAGCATTATGTTCATTACAGCTCATCCAAGATAAGAACATCGAAGAAGAAACCGATTGTTTATTGACGACATCTTCAATATCATCGTCTGCTCCATATACAATATTTTGTTTTCCAGGAAGATGGAATGGAAGCCTTACAACAGAAGGATATCTGTAATGAACATCAAATGCAAATATACGCCATGAAGCTTCACATGCAGACAAATACCTACAATCATAGTAGTTTTGTATTTCATCAACAGAAACATCATCATTATCATCTCCGTTGTTTTGAACAACTGCAACAGTAGCCCGATCAGGACCCTTGTTAATATATTTAAACAAATATTTGATGGAAGCCGCTTGATTGCACCACTCAACATTAATGTGAGCCTGATATCTTTTCAAAAGGGCTTTATGATATGGAACGACACTTCTGTTGTCTAACCTAACACCAGACTTTTCAACAAAAGATCCATCATTACGTCTCCTATATATAGGATAACCATCAAATCGACTGAGGTATTTTCTAAGAATGACTTTGGGAAATTTTTTGAACACTTTTTGTCAATCATGCATGGGCATTTAGGATTATCAGAACCACATGGACCATGCATCATAAACTCACTGACAAGTGCATACAATTCTGGATCATTTTCTTTGTTTGGAATTTCAGCCGAAATAACTCGATCAATATGTTCAACAGTTGGGAGTTTGTAATCAGAATGCATGAATAAACATATATGTGCATGAGGCAGACCGCGCTTTTGAAACTCCACAGTATAAACAACTGTAAATTATTAAAATAAATATAATATTATAATATAATAAAAAACATAATGATAAAAAGTATTGTTGTATTATAAGGTACCTGCTTGGACCCGACCCAATAACGCTTTTTTCTTTAAGTCTTTAATCAAAGAATTCAACTTGATTTTGAATAATCTGGAAAGGATATCGGGCCTATCTTCGGGATTAAGTGTGGTGTCAGCAAGAAACCTTTTAATTTCAGGCCACTTTGGATTGCATGTTACGGTTATGAAAAAATCTGGGTATCCAAACCACTTACAAAGCGACATGGCATCTAAATAGTTTTGCATCATGTAGCGTGCACCACCCGTAAATGAAGAAGGCAAGATAACACGTTTTCCGATGTTGGAATATCAGTACGACCATCACTTTGTACGTTTCGTAATGTTTCATACGATTCACATCTAAGAACTTTTTGCTGATTACGTATGTAATATAGTCTCTCAGTTTCAATCATCGTATAAGCATCAACCAAAAATTGTTGAAAAAGCCTTCGTGAATTAAGAATTAATGAAAAAACATTAACTCTGTCTTGAATTCTATAAGAAAAGAATTCTCTCATTGTACAGTTACGACGTTTGCTATTCGTTGAATCATCAAAATCTCTGTGAGGGATGTCAACTCTATATCCATCATCCCATATGGAAATAGTAGTGGATACTGAAGAGCAAGGTACGAAGGATGTAATTCGTTTATACGTTGTAGACTTCCTGATTTAGTTTTTACGATGATATCTCTGTTATCAATTGCATCACCAATATCACCAACAATTAAAGCAGCAACTTCAGAAGCAGAAGGTAAGTTATATGTCCTTCCATCTTGTTGCCTTCTTCCTATAAGACGTAACTTTACATCTATATGAGGATTTTCATCAAAACAATCTCTGACCATTCTATAACACTTAACCAACTCATTCGTTGAATCCAACATGTCCTTCAAAAACTGTATAATTTCGATATCAAAAGAATGAGAAGTTGATGTGCACCCTTCTTTTTGTGTACTGTTAAGAATAACGGTTATATGTAAAATTTAGCAAGTTAATAATTATATGAAATATATAAAATTAATGGTTTATAAAAACGTATAAAGAAATACCTGAACGCTTGTTGTCGATTTGAAACTTCATTTTCAGTATCATATATGTATAATTGCGAAAACTTTGGTTTCGATCCATCAATAGGTAGAAGACTTCCCATGCAATGATAATTTTGACCACTAAGTCTAAAAACATATGGAGCATTGCCTTTGTTAATTGAAGAATCAACTTTTCCACCCATTGAAGTAAAGGAAAACATCGAATTGAATCGACGGATGTTCTTCATGAAATTTTTTCCTTTTGGATCAACAACACGAAAGAGATTTTCATAATTTTTAGGCGGTTCTTTTAGTTGAGGAAGCTCGACCTTTCCATTGCCACAACAAAGGGAAAAAGAAGTTTTCTTTCCAGAAGCATTGCCTTTACGTGCTTCATCCCTCCATAACTGTGCATGACACATCGTACACACAAAAGTCTGATCACCATGGTCCAAGTAATCTGTTTAATAAAAATGTATGATAAAGTTTGAACTAAATTAATGTTTAGATGAGTAATAGTTTATAAAGAAAGGTGGATGATAAATTTAAATTAAATGTTACCTTTTGTGGCACCTGAAGTTAAAGTTAGTTTATGGATTTGTTGATCACGAAACTCTTCTTCTGACGTTAGGTCGAAAATGGGTATGTGAGTAGTATTTAGAAACTTCCTTTTTTTATTTATATTTTTGCGCAATAAATTGTTGGAATAGTCTCGAGTGATTGAAGATGAAGTCATAGGTCTCATGTCACGACACAAGACTGAACATTCTCCGTTGACTAAAAATAAAAGTATGATATTTAGTATTAAATTTATAAAGTAAATTGATAAAAATGAAAAAATAAAAATGCATACATATTATAATAATATGTATACCATATATAGTAAGAAACAATATGCTGGATAAAAGCGTAGTTATACCATTGGTAATGTTGGACAACGGAGTTCTTGTAGTAAAATTAGAAGCGTCTTCAAAACGTTCTTGATGACGACCATTATTACCTATAATTGTAATATATGTTAATATAAATATGTATTAATTATGGAATAATAAAGAAACACATATAAGAACATAATATTTATTAAAATATTTATAATAACTATAGATGGATAAAATAAAAGAAGTAAGATGATATATATGATATACCGAATTGGCATGGTGGATATGTGATTGGATTTTCTTTTATCCAAATAATTTTTCCTTTCTTTTCGTTTGTCTTTGGCGTTGTGTGATAATGGAGTATCGATATAGATATTGGAAGTAGATTGAACACGTGTTTGTTGATATCCATATGAAGAAGTTGTGGTGACATTTTATTGTTACCACCATGATATGCCAACTTGTTTGATGATGGTGTTTGAATGTTGGTAGTTATATTAGAAATGACTGTAAAAAAATAAAGAATATGTAAGTTACAGTACACATAACATTTATTTTAAGATAAGATAAATAAGAAAAATATAAAAAAATAAATGTAATCATATAATTACACCTACTATATAAGGGATTTATGAAATACCAATGTTAAAAAAATTGAAATAAATTTTGACCGTGCTAGGTATTAGGTGTGAAATTATAACAATATCTTAATGAAATATAAATTGTAATGTATAGAAGAGTATAGGTAAAAGACAATAGGATTTCAGAATTTGGGGAATGTGTATAAAATAAAATATGTTTAAAATGCAATAAAAACCGGTGTCATAGGAATAAAAAGACATACCAGACGGCGTTGTGGATAAATGATTGGATCTTTTCTTATCCAAATATAATTTTCTAAGTTTTCTGTTCTCTTTGGCAGCAACAGACAATGGATTCTTAATATTAAAAGTTGAAGTAGATTGGAAATTTGTATGTTGATATGCATATGATATATTTGGATTGACATTTCATTATCGATGCGAACATATGTAGAATTGGTTGAACGGGGTGAATGTTGTTGAGGAATACCTACAATGTATATATAATATTAAGAATGTGTTATTACATGATGTGATAGTTATGTGATATAATACATCATAAGATATAAAATAATATTTGCACAACATAAGTCAAATATAAAACATGATTGAAAATAAAAGTAAATTGGGTTATATATAAAAAATTACCAATTGACGTGGTGGACATAAGATTGGATCTTCTATTTTCCAAATATAATTTTCTATGTCTTCGTTTATCTTTATGCTCATTTGAATTCATATCGTCTGTGTAGCTTAAGAACAAAAAGCAATTTATGTAATAAAAAATTATATTGACCATAATATTCAACAAAAAGATAGAAATAGAAAGATAGTTATACAGAGTGATAATGAGATCGAGAAAGATAGAAAAACTTTACTAATAATAATCGACAAAGCACAAATTAGGCAAGGGCAAAGACGATAGAGGGATTGATGAGCACTCCGGTGGTAGCAACGCTGTTAACCGGTGACAATTTCAGTAATTTCACGACCCTGTTGGTGACAACGGCGATATTAGGATTCAAAGTCACATGTGTCTTAATTGAATGACGTATAAAAATAAACGACTTATAAAATTTTAGTGATGTAATCGGGCTGTCAATAATGAACTAATGCAACTATAACATAACAATGATAAAAAAAATTAATATATTATAATAAATTGGTTGCAAGCAAGTACTCGTAATTATCACCCAGCTTTAATTGCGAAATAAACCAACCCAACATCATATACAAACTAAATAAATAAAATATTTATATTTTATTTCCGTGTATAAATTATTTATTGAAAGTATTTTACTCCAATTGATAATAGGCTTTTTGACCGATAGATTACAATTGCTTTATTTTATAAGGAATACATTAAATGATTAAATACTAAAACAGAGAGAAAATGAGAGTGTGAGAATAACACCTGTAAATAAAAGACACGTAGGAGGAAGCCGTCTCCGATTCAATGAAATGGAAGAACTGGTCAGGTGTAGCAGAAGTGTACTAAAGTGCAGGATGATGTTGAGCACGAGGTGGTGCCGACAAACTAATCGGAGCGGAGATGGGTTCAGCAACAACGTCGTTGACGAAACAAAAGGTATTTTTTGTTTAATTAGGGTTTCATCTTTTTTCTTCGAGATTAGCTTCTCAAATTTTCTGATCATCGATTATTGTTAAGTTTAGGGCTTAATATTTTATGAAGTATTGCGTAAATAGA